CCAGGAAGGCACGGGGCAGCCGCTGTGAAGAGAGAAAACGAGGAGGTTGGGTAAGCTTGCTAAAGCGGGACCGTATGTTGTAGGGCCACGAAAACTAGACAGAGACATCGGAGCTTGATTTGGGGGATTACAAAAGAGCCGCGGAACGCTTTGAGGAACCTCAGGGCGGAACCACATGACACCTTGACCAAGACCCCCGCGGATGGTGAAAACGGGAGTCGCGAGCTCTCCGTGGACCAAGGAAACAGGGTCACAGGATGCAGCGGGGCGAAGATCGGACTAAGAAGCGGACACCCTGGGCTTACACGCAAACGTCCGGAGATACGGTTCGGCCGTAAGTCAGGTGCAGCGAGAACGAATCTCTAAGTGCCCTCTACAACTCCGCTGCTCCACGGTGTGGTCCACCGCCCCGCAGCAACACAGACGCTCAGCCCCGGGCCACAGAGCTGCGCGTCTGCAGTCGCGGCTACTTCAGATCCGTGGCAGGAAGATCAGTTGAGCCCAGGAGTTGGGAGGCAGCCTGGACAACATAGTGGGACCCCGTCTCTTAAACAAATAAACAAACAAGAGACACAAGAAAACAGAAAAACAGAAGCTTATGCTCCATCGGGAAAATTACACTCTGTACTTTAACAAGATCCTTTGCAAGGGGCGCAAGTACATTGAAGTTTGGGAAGCACCTCTCCAAAGTGTCCTCCAGTTCTAAAATGAGCTTATTGCACATTCCCTGAAGCTCTGTCGCTCCGTAGGAGAAAAAGAAGAAGAAGAAAGATGTATCTGTTCGCCTAGGCTTGTGCCCACAGCCTGCCCCAGACTTGCGCAAGAGTTCTTAGGAAACACCGGTGAGGCCGTGCTGCCACCTTGTGGCCATGATCCGTAAATGCGCTTGACCGTTCCAGTTCTCGCCCGTAAAGGACGGGGAGGGTAGGCAGGAGCGTGAAGCCTCAGGCACAGACCCGCCTACACCACCTGTAACTGCCGGGGACCGCGCAGTTCTTAAGCACCACCAGCGAAGCAGTGCTGCCACCTTGCGACCATGATCAGTAAATGCATGTAACCTTTTCGCTTCTCAGTAAAGGAGCGGGAAGAGGGGTAAGTCCAAGCGGCAGGCACATGGGACAATAGAAGCGCAGCGTGCACAGTGACAGCTCAGCATGCGTCATAGCGCAGTGTTACGTTCCAACGGGATTTTTATACTGCCCGCTAACAAACGTATTATTAGTGGAAAACCCGAGATCCACGCCAAACCCTGCCCTTGTAACAGCAGAAATCACTGTGACGGCTTTTTATACAATTTTCAAAAGCTCGTAATCCCCACCGTGCACTCCCATTGGTCTTCCCGCACGCATCTTCCAAATGATAGAATCTGAAGCCCACGCATTCCCCTGTCACTTTCCTGCACGTGAAGTGCAGCAATCCCCCGGGAAACTCGGATTTCGAGGAGTGTTGCAAACGAGCCCCAGAGCCACAGGACCACCCGTCTCCCCGCGCTGGCCCTATGCCCCTGTCCAGAAAGCTGAATACCTCATCGGCTGATCTGGGGATACTGCTTTTGCCTGCCGCACTGTTGCTCAATCATCCTGTACTGATGGAGGGGTATGGTTGGTTTCTTTAACCTTATTTTTTAAGAAATATTTATCAGAGTCAGGCACACACCTGTAATCTCAGCTCTAGGGACATTGAGGCAGGAGGATCATGAACTCTAGACCAGCCTAGGCTACGCTGGAAGACCTTGTCCAAAGAAAAAAAGAAAGGAAGAAAAAAGGAATAATTAATATGTTATGAACTTTATACACTAGAGCAACAGAGATGAACAGGAACTCACACACACACAGCTGCAGGGTTTGGAGGAAACCCAGTTCAAAGTCACACCACTATCTGGGCATGGTGGTGCATGCCTGTAATCTCAGCACTTGAGAGGCAGAGGCAGGAGGATTGCCACAAGTTCAAGGACAGCCTGAATTACGTAGCAGACCCAGTCTTAAAAAAAAAAAAGCTACACCACTATATCTGAGTGAGAAAATACTGTGATAGATGTCAACACTGACTTTGTGGCAGGGAGGGGCATCTCATGAATCACCTGTGAAAAATCTTCCACTCTTGGTTCCCTTGGATCAGTGGTCCTCATACCAAGCTCAAAATGACACAAGAGAATGTAAATGTCCCAGAAGGTCCTCTTGGCAGTCACGGCCAGACTGGGCATTTCCTTCTGGCTAATCATGGCGGCTCTGGGCTCCCACTTCGTTTGAATGTGCTCCCTTTCTCCCCTCCCAGGCCTTGGCAATTTGCATGCACAGCAGCCAGACAGCTTCACACAGACAGAAAACCTAGCAAGAAACGTGTGTCTTACGCCTGGGACTTTGAGGCTCACTGACCAATGGCACAGACCTAATCATACTCCCTCCCGGAACTCTGACTCCACTTCCGCAAAGGGGGACAAGCGCAAGGCCTCCTCCGAGGCAGCGCCACGCCTTATTCTTTGTGGCATCCACCACCCAGCAAATACTGGGCACACATTGGGCAATCCAGTGTTTAGCGAGTTTGTGTGTGAAGAAATGACTGCTAGTAGAGCAACCCGAGGCATGGAAGGATTAGCAAATATTTCTGAATGTCTGCCAAGAACACTGTAGAGTAGGGAGAGCAAATAACCACAGGAGAGCGGTGCTTTCTCCCTACGTCCCCTTTACTCTCTCTGGGGGAGGCCTTTTGCAAGTCTGAGAGACTCTTGACACAAATAATGTTTCCGACATGGGCTAAGAGAAGTTGTCAATATTAACCAAAGAAAAGTCCATTTGTCTTAAGGGTGTTGTATATCAATGAACCTAAAAGACCCAGAGCCCTGTCCTGTGATACAACCCCACCCAACTCCACAGAGGGGAAAACCAGAGCAGAAAAAAACTTCCGGCCAGTTCCCTAGGGGAGCAGAGGTCCACAGACTGAGGGTGCCCAGCGGGAATGCCCAGCAGGGACCAACAGACACCTTGATGAGGAAAGCAAAGCCTCCCCACCCGGCTCCCTGTGTACACACAGCCACCTACCCATAAGGATTCCCTCTTCTAGTGAGTTGTACTTCCACACACTGTCCGCCATATAGGGCTAGTTATGGGGTTACAAAACTATCACTCAGGGCCGGGGATGTAGCTCAGCGGCACATGCGTCTGCCTGGCAAGCACAAGGTCCTGAGTTTGATGCCTGATACCCATACACATGCACACGCGCGCGCACGCACACACACACACGCACACACGCACACAAAAGCTATCACTCAGTTCAATAAGTATTTGTAGAGGACTCCATAGTACCAGACCCTACATTTGTCCTGAGTATAAAACTCAACAATCAACAGGCCCTGCCCGCAAATATCCCATTAGTTCTGGCTTACGACACACCCCTCTGGACTGCCTTTTGCTCTGCCAAATTCTATGCCACCTGGGAGACGGAGCTCAACCACCAGCTCCCCCAGAGCCTCTCTCAGTCCTCAGCGACCTTCTGCTACCTCGCAGTGGGGCTCCACTTCTATCTGTAGGGTTTATGCGGCGAAGGCCAGCTCCCTGGTTAGGTTTAAGCATGGTGACAATAGAGAGCATTTTAAGAATTTTCCGGAAAGAAGCCACATCAGTGGTTTGTACCAGACCAAACCCAGACCGAGCCTAAAACTTCAACGTGAGAACAGTTTCCACCTCCTGGCACAATTCTCCGATGTGGCAGCGGGCCCGGATAGCTTGGAAACTGAGAGGGTAGGAAGTAACCTACCAAAGTTTGCAGAGGGCTTGAGCAGGGCCTGGTCTTTTCCCTACCAGGAGGGAAACAAAGTCACACCACTTTTTCCCATGGCCTGCTCGGAGGCTTCCAGGAAGGGCTACCTTTTTTTTTTTTTTTTGGTTTTTCTCCGGTACCGGGAACCGAACTCATGACCTTGCGCTTGCCAGGCAGGCGCTTTTGCCACTGAGCTAAATCCCCAGCCCCCCAGGAAGGGCTACTTTCATAACCATCCCTTCGGCCTTTGCAACGTCACCTGGCGTTCAAACTCAGCCGCTCTTTCTTTGGCATACTCCTAAAGTCTCTGGGGGTAGAAACCAGGCTCGTAAGTGCTCACGTCCCATAACTGTTGCTGGGATTTTGAACGCCACCAAAAGTCTCCTGAACCTTCGGGAGATGGAACCTACTGACAGGAAGTTAGGTCATTAGAAGTGTGCCCTTTGAGAGGGTATTGAAATCCCAGCCCCTTCCTGTCTCTGCTTCCTGGCTCCCAGGAGACAAACAGGTCCCTCTGTCATGTGCACCCACCATGATGCCCTGCTGCACCGCAGGCCCAAAAGCAGCAGGGACCAGCTCACCATGGACCAAAACCACCAGCCAAAATAAAACGCTCCTCTTATGAGCTGTTAATCTCAGGTGTTTTGCTGCAGAGATGGGAGGCGGACTGACACATTAACCCTTAGTATTTACTGAAGCACTATTCCTTTTCTTCTTCTGCCTACGGATGTTCCCAACCAAAGTCTGGAGCCAGAAGGCCCAGCTGCCTGGGCAAACACACTTTAAAGCCATCACTATTTTCTCAACAAGCAAGGAGGAGGTGTGGTTTTTCCACTGGCCCGGGAGCAGTGCTCTGAACAAGGGAGACCCGCCCTTCCTTCATCCTGCCCCGCATCCACCTTACAGGGCTGCAGAATTGGTAGAACCCTTACCCAGGCTGACGCCAGGGCCGCTTTCTGAGCGGCAGCATTACTGTTGCCAGCCCTTGCCAAGGGCGGGCGTGGAAAGGACAGAGGGGAACAGACAAGTCGCTCTCTCTTCTGCCAGCCCTCCATGGCCAGCCACTTCCTTGTAGCAGCAGTCGCTGGAAGGAACAAGGAAGCTCAAAGTAGAAAAAAGTCTTGAGGGAGAAATCATTACACATCGTGGGGTGAAGAGGGGAGGAGGAGGAGGAGGACGGGAGGGAGCAAGAGCCTCTGCCAAGTTATCAGTCATTTTTCAGGTTCTTAAGAGCACTGCATTTCTTTTGTTTGATCAGTTCCACCTCCCAGATTCCGGTAAAGCACCTGGTCCAGTCTGTTACCTAACAACACGGTCAGCGTCATCTTACCTGTTCTCGCCCTCTAAGGAGAACACGGAGCCAGGGTTAAAGCACAGACCCCCAAGCCAACTACCACGTCCAAGTCATCCCTCGAAAGCAGGAGCCTTCCAGCAACTCACGGCAGCACCGGCAACCGCCATGAAGGTCACCATCGCCTTCCTCCTCCTGCTGCTGCCACTAACGCTGATGTCCACGGCCTCCAGCAGCCCAAATTCAGGTAAAAAAAAAAAAAAGATTCATTTTTCTTTCTTTCTTTTTTGCCTTTTTGAGACAGGGTCTCGCTGTGCAGTTCAGGCTGGCCTCAAACTCACAACGATCCTCCTGCCTCAGCCTCCCAAGTGCTGGGATTACAGGCGTGCACCACCGTGCCCGGCAAGATTCATTTTTCTATGAGGGAGGAAAGGGGTAAAAAATGGGGCAAAACAGGCTACACATGCATTAAAGTGTAGCCCCTTGAGCTATAAAGATTTGGAGCAAGACAGTCTTTCTCAGCGCTGGTTTGAGGAGGAAATAGTACACACACTGGAGTGCTGTAAGAGTTACAAGAGATATTGTATGAGAAAGGGTCTGTAACTATAACTGGCAAAATATATACCTCATGTGTGTACACACACACACACACACACACACACACTCACACACTAGGTTGACCAGGGTGTGCTCTCATACCTTCTCCCCAGCCCCCTTTCCAGAATAGTAGTGAATTTCCCCTAGGCCACCTGCTTTATAGCTTAACACACAGGCCCCCAGCAGTTTCTAATGCTATTCAATGGTAATATAATAACAGACAGGAAAAGTCCTGTCACTAGCCCATACCACTCTGGATGCTTTAGCCATACCAACCTCTGTGCTAACAGCCTTGGTTTGTGGTTCCAAATTTGCTCCGGTTTGCACCACAGCCAAAGTGGCCCAGATCTTCACAAAACAACTGCTCGGAAGAGAGATCACCCCCTCCCGTGTATATATTTCTGTTCGGGAGCACCATCTCCCCAAGGGCTACTTTGAGGTGAAATAGCTTGTTACACACAAAGCATCAACTTGGTCCTAAAATCAGTAAAAGTTCCACCCTATTCCATCCTAATTTGAAACTTCGCCTCCTTTTTAGAAGCTTCTGAGTCCCACAGCCCTAGGACCTAGCCCACCGCTGCGGGAGGGGAAACTTTCCCACGCTGTGACAGACGCCGGCGCTATAGTCCTCAGCCTAGACGCAATGCTCAAGCCCCCTCCTGCTCTTCCAGTTCCCCCCCCGCACCCCGCACTCCCTAAGCAATACTCTATGCTGTCGACTGTGCATGCGGTCCCCTAAACAGGTTCTGGTGTTTTCCCACCAGCTCAGCTTCGCTCACACATTCAGCTCAAAAACCAGCTCCTCACCCACAGCCTCCCTTGGTTCCTGCCACAGCCAGAAACGGGCTCCCGCCTCTCAGCCCACGCTTGATTCTCCGTTTGCATTTGCTGTTTGTTGTCTCAGGCTGAAAGTGTGTGTGTGCCTCTCGGGCCTCCAACCCCGGCCCTTCCACACTGGGACCTCCTTGGTGGCACAAACTGGTGTATAGCTTCTAGAGCCTGCACGCTACCCAGCACACTACTCGGTAAATATTAGCTAAGTCCTGGCGTTACTACGTTCAAAATTTTGCCCTTTTAACACTCTCCACCAGGGTTCGATAGCCGCTCTGTTGACATTTGGGGTTGAACAGTTCTGCTGTTCTGTGCACGTAAGATGCTCGCCAGCAGCCAGACAACCTCTATCCATTAGACGCCAGTAGCCCTGAAGAAAGCTACACACACACACACACACACACACACACACCCTATCCCTTAAGAAAGCTAAAAATATCTCCAGACATTGCCAAATGAGGCACAGGGGCAGACCCCTAGTCAAGTATCACTGCTGTATAACAATAGTTCTCAAATTTAGCTGCACTTTTAGATTCAGCTTTAAGTTAGGGGATCTAGATCCAAACCCTGACTCTCTACTCTCGCTTTGGAAACCTGGACAGATCACTTTTTTGAACCTCAGTTTTATCACCTTAAACATGAATAAAATATTAATTTATCACATAGACTTGTGAAGATGAGATGATCTATAACGTGCCTCTAGAAGGTGCTCAATAAACGAGCAGAGTGCAGTTTGTAAAGCAGCTCCTAAAGCACAAGGATGATGAGTTGGGGGATAGCAGCCCTGCCACCAGGTGGCGCTATCACAAACGCCCCGGAAAGGGCAGCGGTGGAAATCAAGACTTGCTTCGGAGCCTAAATTTGAGCCGGTGAGTGACCAGAGGAAACGACACCCCCCACTAAGCAATTCTCAAAATAAAATCTGAGCTTACTTTATCTCTAGAAATAACCACATCTGGGCACAATAAAGTGTTCTTTTCACAGGGGAAGGGGTCAAAAAGAAACAGGTGAGAATATTAGGAAATAAATCACTTACAATAACAGGTTATTCACTATTTGTAATATCACTTCATTATAAAATTTCTATTAATAACAGCTGACATGTGTGAAGAACTCTTATGTCTCAGGCCTTGTTCTAAGTGCTCCACACATGCACCATCATCCCATTTTGTCCTCACAGAAATCTAATACATTTTTATATTTTTAACTTTTTACATTGTATGCTTTCAAAAATGTTGCAAAAATAGTCAGAGTTCCAATACATTGTTCATCTGGTTTGTTTCAAATAATCTTACATAACCATAACAAGCTTATCAAAACCAGGACATTGGCATCGGTGTGCTAAGGGTAACTAATTCACAAACATTCAAATTTTGTTAATCATTCAAATAATGTCCCTCTTTGGGCCAGGGATATAGCTCAGCGGCATAGCACCTGCCTGGCAAGTGCGAGGTCCTGAGTTCGATTCCCGGTACCAAAAAAAAACACCAAATAATGTCCTTTTTCTACTCCATAGCACAACCCAGGCTCCCACACTAAATAAAACTTCCCTGTTTCCTTAGTCCCCTCCAATCTGGGGCAGTTTCTCAGTCTTTCCTCATCTTCCATGACCTGGATTTGTTTATGACCTTGATATTTTTTTGTTTGTTTGTTTCGTGTTTTTTTTTTTTCCAGTACCAGGAAATGAACTCACGACCTTGCACTTGCCAGGCAGGCACTGTGCCGCTGAGCTAAATCCCCAGCCCTATGACCTTGACTTTTAAAAAGGAAAATACTACGAAAATATTTGTAGCATGTCCTCAATTTGAGTTTGTCCAGTATTTTCTCCTGATTAATTTCAGGTTATGAATTTTGGGCACGAGTACCACAGAGGGATAAGTCTTCAGGGGGACAGGAGGCCCAGGACATTGCTAGTTGGTTACTGGTGATGTTAACCGGTTACACTGGTGTCTGTGAAGTTACAACTGTATTCTTCTCCTTGTAACTGTCAAGTATCTGTGGAGAGATACCTCATTTGTTTGTGCTTGTTTCTTTGTTCACTGGGCGGTTGGGGGAGTTGTTGTTGTATTGTATTGTTTTTTGTTTTTTGAGACAGGGTCTTGCTGGCCTTGGTTCAGGCTGACCTTAAACTCAGTATGGAGCCCAGGCTGGTCTCAAACTCGCAGCAATCCTCCTACCTCAGCCTCCCAAGTGCTGGGATTATGTACCATCACACGCAGTCAAGGAGAGATACCTTAATATTATGCAAATATTCTGCTTTGGGGCTGGGAATATAGCTCAGCAGCACAAGCGCCTGCCTGCCAAGCTCAAGGTCCTGAGTTCGATTCCCAGTACCAAAAAAGACAAAATTAAAAAAAGAGGGGTTGGGGATTTAGCTCAGCGGCAAAGCGCCTGCCTGGCAAGTGCAAGGTCGTGAGTTCGGTCCCCGGTACTGGAGAAAAACCAAAAAAATAAAATATTAAAAATTAAAATTAAAGAAAAAGAATATTCTGCTTATACTTTTACCCATTAATGTTTCTTTTTTTTTTTTAATTTTTTTGAGACAAAGTCTAACTATGTAGCCCAGGCTGGCCTTGAACTCACAGCAATCCTCCTGCCCCAGCCTCTCGAGTTCTGTGATTACAGGAGTGTGCCACATGCCCAGCTACCCATTAAGTTTTAGAATTTATTAGTGACTCTTGCTAACAACAGTTGTTACTATGGCATTTGCGGATTACTGGTGTTTCTATTTCCATCATTCTTTCTACACTGATTAACTGGAATTTTATAATTAAAAGAGCTCTTCTTCCTCTTTTCATTGTTTATTCAATTATCTATATCACACTCATGTGTGTGTATGAGCTATAATCCATTACTATCATTATTTATTATGTTGCTCATATTGTCCCCAAATTGGCCACTGGGAACTCCTTCAAGTTGACTTCTGTGACCTTTCAGTATCTTCATCATTTTTTGAGCAGTTCTTTATTTTCTGGCACTAAAAGATGTTCCAGCTTCAGCTTGTGCTTTGCTGCCCCAGTCCTGGTACCAGTCATTTCTCCAGGGAGCCCTAGTTCCTCGGGTGGAGAATGCTATTTACAAACCACAGGTGCCAAGTGTGCCCTTTGCTAGCACCGTAGGTACCATCGCTTCTAGGCCCCCTAGTGGAACAGAGCTAGAAAATAACACACACACACGCCTGGACTATTAGCCATACTTCAAAAACTACCAGGAGATAAATTAGAGAATTGAGAAGTTAAGCAAATTATCCAAACTCACAAAGCAGGGGCTGGGGATTTAGCTCAGCGGCAAAGCACCTGCCTGGCAAGCGCAAGGTCGTGAGTTCGATTCCTGGTACTGGAAAAAAAAAAAAAAAAAAAAAAAAAAAACTCACAAAGCAAATATGTGGTAGAACTGGGAAGTCAAAATAATATAGATGTACTGGAAATCCTAACAGGTACAATATATATTCTGTCAGCATAAAAACCACAAGCCCATACTCTAGCACAGATACAGTCTTTGGAAAATAACTAGACATCCACGGTAATAGCCGGTAATAACCAATGTGTACCTAATAGCTGTCTGGGCACCAGGCACTGAAAGTATTGTATTTACTCCTCACAACTCTGCAAGATAGCTATTACTATCCTCATTTTACAATCAGGGAAATCCAGGTGTGATGGCGCATGCCTGCAATCCCAGCACAAGGGTAAGGCAAGATGGCGGTGGGCTTGAGACCAGCCTGGGCTACATCATGAGTTCAGGGCCAGTTTCGAGTACCTTGCAAGATCCTGTCTCAAAACAAATAAATCAGGGAACCAAGAACTGAGGACACTAAGTGACTTCCCTAAGACTATATAATTAGGTGACAGGCCCAGCAGTTAACCCCAGATCTACCTAGATACAAAGTCCATGTTTCTTCCACTGTATGGGTGGTTCCCAAAGGCACTTTTAGATGGAAGATAAATTTACATGTTTCACTTTAATAGTTAGGTTTATTTTCTTACATGTCAGAAAAAAACCTAAGCATACATCAGACCTGTAATTTCACAGATAATATCACATAGGAAGAGGCTGCTTTGCAAAATAAACTTAAAGCATGAAGTAAATAACATCAGCACTTGCAGAAGCTGTAGTAACAGTCACAGGCGGTCCACAAAAGTCTGAAGTCTGGAAGACAGCACTACAGTAACCTGAAGCTACATTTTCGTTTCCACCAATTAAATGGGGCGGGGGCATCAGGTAGGGTTACAGAAAGAATGAGAGACTAAGGATCTTGGATTTGGGTTCTATTCCTAGATATGGCACCATTACCTTGGTGAACTTGGGCATTTCATTTGCTCTCTCTGCGGCTCAGTTTCCTCGTCTGAAAATAAAGGAGACAGTAATTTAATCAATGAAGAGTGCCCGTTTGAAAACAATTTGATAATAATATCAATACGCATAAAAACTGTTCTTAACTTTTGGCCAGGAATTCTGTTTTTCCAAGAAAATTCTACAAAAAATTTGGAAGATAGCTACATACCAAAGAACTTTATCAACAGCTAAAAATAAGACAGTCCAAATATTTAGCAACAGGCAAACAGTTAAGTAATTCAGAACATACTTATTGGAAGTACTATGCAATTGTTATGGCTTGTGTCTAGATGTCCCC